CATAACGAGGGGTTCAAAGGATCCTCGGTGGCACGTGAACGCAGCGTTCCAAGCATCTGCTTCTTTGATTTGTACATTATTGTACCCCCATCTGAGATCCATCTTTGTCAAGATCTTGGCACCAGCCAATTTGTCTACTAGCTGACTGATCAAAGGCAGCGGATACGCATTTTTAACCGTGTGCTCATTCACGTAACGATAGTCCATAATCATATGCTTCTTACCATCCTTTTTAGGAATGAAGAACACTGGGGATGTCATAGGGCTTTTGGAAGGTCTGATGTAACCCTTCCTAAGCTGTTCGTCTATGAAACTTGATACCTCGTCTCTTTCTGGAGCAGAGAGTGGTATCTGTGAGGAATCGATTTTTCTTATCGCATTCCCGTCATGTTGTGGTTAGCAGACTCGATCCCCGTCACTTCTCTTGCCCTTGGACTAGAGATTACAGCAGGTGTCTTATTACTTTTATCATTTTTCTTCTTATTCTCTCTTCACACTCACGTTCTATCGTACCTACAACGAGGTAGACTAGTTGTCAACCCTCGAGAAGATATCCAGATGACATAGCCACGATCCAGTGCTATGTCTGGGAATACTTCGGAGGAATATTGATAAGCGAAGAAGGTTGTGAGTCAGCGCCTTCTCATGGGCTTACTGATACAGCCAATTGCACATCCCTTAACAATACATTTTCTCATACGATTAGTAAATACGATAGATCAGACCACTTTCTCCTTTTTTCTTATTGGTTAGCTAGCTGGTCAGACCACTTTCTCAGTACTTCCCTTTCTCGGTCTGACCATCGCTGTTCACTATATAGAGAAGTACATACTCGATGTATTGTTCTCTAGTTCAATATTAGTTTGGATTTGCGCTCATACCGATACTCTTCATTCTCATACCCTGATTCACCGCCTTCCAGCAAGGACTTGACCAGGCATTGTGCTTTGTTATATAGCTTCGTATTTGTTGCCTGACAGTATCATATGTCCTTTTCTCGGTTTGAAAGTGTCCTTCAAGTCTATAGCATGGTCCCAAGGCTTAGCCTCTGGCAAGCGCTCTGACTTATGTTTAGAAAAGACTTTCCAGAAGTCATGGTACTCGGGAGGTACCAGCCTCTTAATCTCTATCTGCTTATCTACCTCTTCCCTGCTGAGTACCGGATCTCAATCTCCGACTACCCACACTATAGTATTTGAAAATGTATGTAAATTCTAATCAACAGCGGTTCCACACCAACTGCTGAGCTGTAGTACTCCCCTTAATGCTAGGGGCCGCATATCACAGGTATTGGTTCTTCTCCCAAAGCACTACAAGGCCGTCACTAGGAGCGCACCTATCTGCTATGCAGGATATTCCTAACCAATAACCAAATCTCCTTCACCCTGGAGTCCGGGTGCCCAGTCGGACTTTTTGCACAATCATGCGAGAGAGTAGAAGAGCAAGTCCTAATGTAACAACCAAGAGTGACTTACTCTGGCGCACACAGAAACACACTATAAATAAGATGGATGGGGAGTGGTTACCCCTTAGGCTGCAGAAAGTTAGTTGATATACAACAGGAGGACTTGCTGAGGAGTCTCCTGGATCTATTGGGGTATATATACTAATACAGAGTTGTTTGTACTTATGTACTATACAGTTGATAAAGATAGTGGCTGATGATGTCATGGGGCCTAGCCCGCATGACCAGCTCCACTGTGTGAGAGAGTTGTAAGAAGAAGGCAACACGGCGCGAGAAAGAGGAGTTTGAACAAAAGGGGAAGTGCTGCGTGGCACCACGTGTGAAAGCTAAAGTACACAAGGTTAAAGCGGAGAATGAAAATTAAAGGGAAGGTCCAAAAATTGTGTTATCGTAACAGGTAGTCCTGAGTGAGAAATTGAGAAATGCCGGATCAAATGCATTTGCGAGAACAGGCGGCGTGGTCGGAGGAGCCGCAGAAAGAACAGATGTGTTGATCGGGATGGTTGTTGGTGCAGGGGCGTTTGTTGGAGTCGAGGTTGAAGGCAATGTAAATGATGGCGCTGGTAAGGTGAGTGACAAGTTGGCCATTAAGTTTGCATGAGAAGAGCAATGTGTTCGAAATCGTTTTCTCTTTGGTACATTGGCCAAAACGATGATCTGGTTGTTGACAAATAAGGCAGATCGGGGAACCACGTGGTGTTGGACAATTGTCGCGAAAAGGCTGCTTGGTAGAATGTTGTTCTTCTTTGTCACGACGAAAGGATCTGTTTCTGTCATCGCGGTAAGGTTCAAAGTGTCTGCTTTTATATGAAGAAGAAGAGGGAAGTGATGAAGATGATTGCACTCAATCTCTGGCTGCTTCTTTTTGTATCTGCTCTAATTTGATAGAGGCAAAACATTGTTGATAGAGTTCAGGGCCCGTTCGGCAGCCACCGTTTCAAAATGTCACCCGCCAAAAAAGTTGCGTTTCATTTTGAAATGGTGCCGTTTCGGAACAAGCTGACATGTTCAGCAACTCAGCTTGTTTCAAAAAAACTTTGTCACACCGGTCTGCAAATTGTGTTCCCAACTTTTACACTCAAACTACAGTAGCTCACACTGCTCTATCACTCTCAAACCCACCTCAAAAGCCCCCAATGACCTCTCAAAAGCTCACACTCAAGATTTCATCTATGAAAAACAGGCTCCTTGCCAACAAAGAGAACCAACCTCCTAGTCAACAATCTCAGAGTCCAGCCCCAAAAGAGCCCCAAAATGCGAAATGGACATCAGAGGATGATGCCACATTAGTGGATAAATTGAAGGAGGCACAAATGGAAGGTAATCAACCTGACAATAATTTCAAAAAACCAGCTTTTGTTGCTGCAGCTGTTGTGCTGGTGCAGAGCCATAAAACCAGTGGTGGTGCACCAAAGACATTTACAAATTGTAGCCAAAATTGGGGAACAGTAAGTCAACCATTGTACAACATATATTGTACTGATTTTTATCATCACAGTTAAAGGCTATGTGCCTTGTTGTTCAGCAGCTCCGAGAGCTGTCTGGTTTTGGATGGGATGATACCAGAAAGAAAGTAACTGCTGAAGAAGATGTGTGGGATAACTATATTGCAGTAAGTGTAGAGTCAATAATTTAGTATGGGATGTACTCAATTAAATCTGTCTCAGTCCCATCCAGAAGCAAAGCCATGGCGTACAAACCCTTTTCCACTCTACGACGATATAATTGGACTCATTGATGGACGCTATGCCACTGGTGAGGGTGATGAGCCTTCTTTGCCCTTGCCTCATCCTTATGAGGAACAAGTGGATCAAGATGATATGGGCACAGCAGATGGTCATCCAGAGAGTAATTTAGACTTGGATGGGGAAGAAAAGTCTCAGGTATGTGATATGGCTTGATGTTGACTTTACTCCACTATTCATTCTTCTAGGATTCTATTGAAGTGTCTCAGAGCTCAAAACGCAAATGTGCAGCTTCTGGATCACCCACTCCTGCATCTGCATCAAAGCGCCTTCGTACCAAGGTGACAGGACCTTCTGCCATCCTTGGAATTGCAGATGCACTTAGTGCTGTGACTTCATCACTCAGTCGTCCTGACCCTAGTATTTCCCAGCTTATTGGTGATGTCCCCAGCACACCTAAGAGGAGAATTGCTGCAATCAAGGCTGTTTGTGTCGATGATGCATTGGCCACTGCTGAGCACACACAAGCAATTGCACTATTCACCAAGAATATTGCCATTGCTGATGCATATTCTGCTATCTCTGATGATGTCCTTTGATCCAACTACATCCTCTTGAGATTGATAGCATGTAGTTAAAATAGCTTTACTATTACTAGTTTCCAGTTTGAGTATATGTGATATACTGTTCCCACATTGCCTTTGCAATTATATCATGTTTAAGTATTGCCCTCTCCTTTTCCTGAGGTGTGATGACATGACTATGATCCCTTTGATCCTGCCGTATAGCTTGACTATTCTGTCCACCACCTATGCTGTCCCCTTCTTCATTGTTACTGTCATCAGGATCATGAACTCGTATGAAATTGTGAAGAACACAAAGTGCAGGAACAAGCTTTGCTTGTACCTCCAAAGCATACTCTGGAGCTGCAACCATTAGTTGAAAGCGTCTCTTGACCACCCCAAAAATGTGCTCAATAACATTATGAGCTTGAGCATGACGTAAATTGAAAAGCTCTTTGAAGTCTTTGGGCCTGAAAGATAACAAGTATGAGCTGAGATATCAAAGTGAAAGAAATGAAGACCTTTGTGAAGCTCTACCCCATTTCTTCAAATAGTATTGTACTCCACGGTAAGGGACCAAAAGGGAATCACATGAGGGAAAGCCTGCATCCGCAAGATAATATAGACCTGGAGGAATTACAAAGCCATTGCTCTGAGCATTGTTGTACACATGACTTTCAGCAGCACTGCCCTCCCAGCCAGACAAGACATATAAAAAGCGCATGTCAAAGGTGCAAGCAGCAAGGATATTTTGAGAGAGTCGACCCTTCTGATTACGATAGCGTCCAGTAAGAGCATCATCAGGAACAAAGACATTGATGTGGCTACCATCTATGGCACCACGACACTGTTTAAAGAAGGGATAGAACTTGGGCTCATCTCGGATTTCAGGAGGGACCTCCTCATTAGGGGGGAGATTGATGTATTTCCGGTAAAAGGCAGGAGAAACCACCGTATTGAGCATACGGTGAAAGATCCTATAAGTAACAAGGTTTGATACTCAGTGAATGATATTGAAGAATAAACACATGCATACTTTGATATTGTATCAGCACTATGCTGGAACCTCTCCTGCATATCCCTATTTGTTCCACCAGTGCGACACATTCGGAGAAAGATAGCAAGCTGCTCCTCTGTTGAGATATGCTTGGAGTGACAAAAACCTGCATAATCCTTGAGCTCTTGAAGGAGCCTGCGGAAAACTGGCTTGGAAAGCCCCATCATATTATGGAATCAACGAGGATGTCCACATAATAGCTCCCTAACCCAAGCATGACCAGTTAAAATTCAATTATGCTGAGGTGATTTAATAAGAGATGATACTGAAGCCAGTGATACAGCAGCAGCAGCTGTGGCTGAAGCCAGGGAAGCAGCCTTCCTTCGTTGAGCATGAGACAACTTAAGGAGAGCCGAGGAAGCTGCTTTCTTTTGAGAGGAGGATGTGGTCATGATGGAGGCTCGGGGGGCAGGAAAACCACGATCTACTGATAATCTACAATGGTGTGACATAGCGTGAGAAATTTCGTTTGCCTCTCAGCTCATTCAAAACGAGCGCGTTTTCAAATGGTGGCTGCTGAACGGGCCCTCATGGTTGAGTTCGCGGTGTTCGTTTGCATAGTTGGTGCTTTGTTCAATGTCAAATTCCAATATTGCGGGAAAGTTGGATCTAAAATATTCTTGTCTCGAGAGGAAAACGTAGTGGTCTTTCCAACGTTGGGCGATGGGAGGATCTGAATATAAATCCAGAAAGTCGGAGTATCTACCCCAGGCTTCATGCCAGTCAATTGGGTCCATGTTGTGTTCGTTTGGGAATTGAGTGAGATCAAGTGCGTGATTTTTGGTATTATTTTTGTTGTATACTGTGATTTGTTTTAGAAAAGCTGATTCTCTGTAGAGTTTAGTAGTGGATGCAGCTGTGAATAGCGTAAGAGGGATATAAATGTCTGCTCTAGCTAGTTGCGGGATGAAGGGGTGAATACTGTAAGTAGTGTCTGATGTTTTGGGAGCTGGTAATCTGTCTGGAAAAAAGAATTCTTGAAGTTGTGTTGGAAGATGAGGAAGAGTTGGATACAGTATTAGTAAGAATTTTGCGAGCTTTGATCTGTGATGCAGGCAAGAATTGGGAAAAGGCGGCTAATAAATTGGTAATATTGTTTGTGGGGGGAGTAAGGGGATGAGAAGGAGCAGTAACTGATGTATTGGTACTCGGAGTATTGTTGGCATTGGGATTGGTGGTGATGTTAGTATTAACTGGAGAATTTGTTGTACCGGTATTGGAAGGATTTGTGATTGAAGAATTCGGGAGATTTGAACCACTAGGAAGAGTTGGTGCTACGTTGTTGTTATTGCCTGGAGGTGGAGCAGTGAAAGAAGTCATTGCAAGAATACAAAAAAATTATTGGAGAGAAGTCAAAGGCGGAAATTTCTAATGCAAATCTGAGAGAAAGAGGGGATAGGGATGAGATGATTAGTGTTTGGACTTGTAAGAATTCGCTGTCATGCACCAAAGTTGATTGGTAGCATGGACAGGTGTCAATAATGAAGCAAATATTCAAAAAGACTCGCCTTTGCGCCACACAGGCACAGTGCCACGTGGAATAGCAATCCAGTCACACTCACCTTTGCTTTCCATTCAGTACTTTCCGCATTACGGCATTACGGCAAATTTTTGTGTCGCCACTGGCTACACATTGCATTGCGCCCTCAATTTTGTCGTTTCCCTTACTCCCCTTCCTTTGCCTAGCCCCACCATGGGCCCCTTCCTCTCCTTTTTATTCTCACCTGACGGTCGTTTCTGGATCCCCATTCTAATCCACCTTTTTGTCACCTCCACCCTCCTCCTCCTCATCTTATTTGCACCCCCACCATTTCTGATGTCACCACTTCCTATCCGCTTCCATTGCCAATCCGTCAACTACCACATGCCACTGCTGATATCAGCAAAGCCCTGGCGGCCGGTCCAAATAGGGCAACAGGTCCATCTTCATGACGTCAATCTGCCATCATATACTATCAAAACATCGGTTGCTCGTCTTGCCTGGTTAGAGTGTGGGTGGGTAGTTTTTGAGCTGGAGAAGGTTCATCCCCTTGCGTTGCCCATGTTCATCGCTGTCCCATTCACTTGGGTACACTTATCTTTTGTCCATCGTCTTCGCTACAGCTACACCTACCACACGCTGCCTGGGACTCACTTGTTCCAAATTGGAACTACTCCTCTCCCTCCCTTGTTTGATCAGGTGGTCCAACACAACCAGTCCATTGGTAAGGCCATTGAACTGTCGGATTTGGACTAGGTGTTACGATAACACAATTTTTGGACCTTCCCTTTACTTTTATTCTCCGCTTTAACCTTGTACTTTAGCTTTCACACATGATGCCACGCGGCACTTCCCCTTTTGGTTCTAACTCCTCTTTCTCGCACTGTGTTGCCTTTCTTCTTATTTTGGACTCAACTCTCTCACACAGTGGAGCTGATCATGCGGGCTAGACCCCATGACATCATCAGCCACTGTCTTTATCAACTGTATAGTACACATGTACAAATAACACTGTAGTAGTATATATACCCCAATAGATCAAGGAGACTCCTCAGCGAGTCCTCCTGTTGTATACCAACAAACTCTCTGCAGCTCAAAGGGTAACCGCTCCCACATCATCTTCTCTATAGTGTGTTCTGTGTGCGCCAGAGTAACTAACTCTTGGTTGTTACATTAGGACTCGCTCTTCTACTCTCTCGCACATTTGTGCAAAAGTCCCATTGGGCACCCGGACTCCAGGGTGAAGGAGATTGGTTATTGGTTGGAAATATCCCGCATAGCAGATAGGTGTGCTCTTCACAACGGCCTTGTAGTGCTTTGGGAGAAGAACCAAAACCGTTGATATGCGGCCCCCAGCGTTAAGGGGAGTACTTAGCTCAGCAGTTGGTGTGGAACCTCTGTTGATTAGATTTTAAAATACAAAACTTCAATTTCTCTTTCCTCTGACCAGGCCGGGCACTTGCCTCCGCCAGTTGGAGAAGGGTTGACAGCTTAACAAGCGGACCAACCCCTGACAACCGTTTGGACCAGGGTTTATTACAAATACCTTTTACATACAAATTTCGAATACTATAGTGTGGGTAGTTGGGGATTGAGACCCAATACTCAGCTGGGAAGAGGTAGATCCGCAGATAGCAAGCAGGGACCCCCAGTTACATTTTTTTATTTACTTTACAAAGAGAACAAGTCAACATGTCGTCGCAACAAGATGTCAACGCTCTGCTGCATAACATGCGGCAGCAGATCTTGGCATTGACCAATCAACTCGCCGAGCTGCAGGCAAATCCCCCTGCAGCAACCCCCTCAGTTGGGAAGAAATTCAACAAGAAAGTCGAAGTCGTTACTGACCCTGGCACCTTCAACGGAGACAGAGCGCGATTTGCCAAATGGTAGATCAAGCTCCAGATTTGGGTTAAGGCAAATTGGGACGCTGTCGATGATGAGAACTGCTGTTAGAAAACCACACACAAAAAAACAAACTAACACACAATCCTCCCAGATTCCACGGAACTTGTTTATGGGCTTTGCCTCCTAGAACAGTGGAGTGGTCTGGTTGTTCGTGGGGTGGTACGTATAAGAATCCTTCAAAGTAAAACCCAGAGATGTATGAGTGTGGGTTTTGAGGAGGAGGGATAGTTGAATTTGTAGAAGATAGGGGGCTTAGTGACGAGTATAGATGAGCACTACCTTGCTAATCGTAGCACAAGGTAGGTTTGAGAACGACAATATGACGAGGTTCCCAGTGATAGCAGGCTCCTGACGTACAAACTGTAGTGCTCAGAAGGACTCTAATCGAAAGGGATGACAATGACTTCAAAAGTGGGAAGTGACGATGACAGCAGTTGACAGTGGTAGAAGTGGGAAGTGTTGTGACCACACTGGATCACAAGTAGCAGAGTAGTGAACTTGAGAGTAGAGAAGAAGTCTGGATTGGATTTCTTGTTCTTTTTACAAGGTAAAATACAGGGGTTTATATAGTAAAAAAAAAGTAGGCTATGCACAGTATAGCTGTGCAAAAAGAATGAGAAAGAACATGAAGGAAGGAATGTATGCTGACAAATCCTGCGTAGGTAGTGCAGGATAAGATTGTCAAAAAAAGGGAAAAAAAGGGATAGAACAATGAATGCTGTGAGTAATGTCACAGGTTTGTACAGCCATAAAGTAAAGTCCAATAGCAAAAAGAGAGCAGGAAAATCATGATGTCATGGGAAGATGCAGTAAAAAAAGGGCAAGGCAAAACACTATCAGTATCAACACAGTTCCTTTATTGTCAGTCAGGCATTCTAAAAAGTATGTGTCCATAAAAATGATTCAAAAATCAAAAATAATCACACTGTAAATGAATGTTCTGCTGAAATAAAGAAACTGGAGCCACTGGTCCACCACCTAGTCCAAATCCGACAGTTCCATGGCCTTACCAATGGACTGGTTGTGTTGGACCACCTGATCAAACAAGGGAGGGAGAGGAGTAGTTCCAATTTGGAACAAGTGAGTCCCAGGCAGCGTGTGGTAGGTGTAGCTGTAGTGAAGACGATGGACAAAAGATAAGTGTACCCAAGTGAATGGGACAGCGATGAACATGGGCGATGCAAGGGGATGAACCTTCTCCAGCTCAATAACTACCCACCCACGCTCCAACCAGGCAAGACAAGCGACCGATGTTTTGATAGTATATGATGGCAGATTGACGTCATAAAGATGGACCTGTTGCCCTATTTGGACCGGCCGCCGGGGCTTTGCTGATATCAGCAGTGGCACGTGGTAGTCAACGGATCAGCGACGGAAGCGGATAGGAAGTGGTGACATCAGAAATGGTGGGGGTGCAAATAAGATGAGGAGGAGGAGGGTGGAGGTGACAAAAAAGTGGAATAGAATGGGGATCCAGAAACGACCATCAGGTGAGAATAAAAAGGAGAGGAAGGGGCCCATGGTGGGGCTAGGCAAAGGAAGGGGAGTAAGGGAAACGAAAAAATTGAGGGCGCAATGCAATGTGTAGCCAGTGGCAACGCAAAAATTTGCCGAAATGCCGAAATGCGGAAAGTACCGGATGGAAAAGCAAAGGTGAGCGTGACTGGATTGCCTAATAGAGGTGATGCTGATCAGCCACAAGTTCGAAAAAGGCAATATTAATTACTATTCCACGTGGCACTGTGCCTGTGTGGCGCAAAGGCGAGTCTTTTGAATATTCGCTTCATTATTGACACCTGTCCATGCTACCAATCAACTTTGGTGCATGACACCGGCTGGTAAACCTATGCCAAATCCAATACCAGCTGGTCCCTGGCAGGATATATCGGTTGATTTTACGATGGATCTGCCCGAGTCGAATGGGTATGATTCAGTAATGGTGGTAGTTGATCGCTTCTCCAAAGAAGTAGTATTCATACCTACTAATAAAACCATTACCGCTGCCGGCACGGCAGATTTATTTAAAGATTTTGTATGGTCTATCCATGGGTTACCAGAAACAGTTATCTCCAATAGAGGGCCACAATTTGCTAGCAAATTTATGAAAAAACTATGCTGGATGCTTGGCATAAAACCTAAATTATCAATGGTGTTCCATCCACAGACTGATGGAAAAACGGAGAGACTCAACCAGGAGTTGAAACAGTATCTCCATATATTTATTAATGACAGGCAGACAGATTGGGCCAAGTGGCTAAAGATAGCCCAGTTCTCTTATAATATCAAACAGTTATTGGCTACAGGAAAGTCACCATTTGAGGTTACTAGATCATACCTCCCCAGAATGGGTGTAGAACCTGGCAAGAGCAAGAACGAGGCTGCTAGGAACATGGCTAAGGACATGAAGTCCGTCTTAGACGAAACGCGCAAAGCGCTATTCAAAACTGCAGAGCAGATGAAAGACAGGGCAGAGCATAGACGCTCTAAGGTCCCTAACTACAAGGTTGGCGACCTGGTCTGGTTAGATACCGACCACTTAAAGTTAAAAGATTGGCAGTCTAGAAAACTGACCGAAAAATGGATTGGCCCTTACCGGATTAAGGAAGTCAAACCCAACGCAGTGGAGCTGGAACTCCCAAAACGAATGAGGGTAGTACCCACGGTCAATATAAGCTGTGTGAAACCCTACAAAGGGCCGCTGCCGGGACAGCGTGTAGACCGGCCCGGACCGGTTGTAGTCACCCAGGAAGGTGAAGAAGAGTTCGAAATTGAACGGGTGGTGGATGCACGCTTGAAGTGTGGCAAATTAGAGTTCCTAGTCCTATGGAAGGGCTATGGAGACGAGGACAGAACATGGGAACCAGAAGCCCATCTGGACAATTCCCACAACGCTGTTTGCAAATTTTATTCTAAGAACCCCTCTGAACCCCTTAGCTCCTAGGAAGCTTAGAGGCATGGACTCAAAACTTTTTAATTCCCTTTTTCAACCTATGCCCGAAAATTTAACTACCACCTCCGGTATTTGGTCTCGCCTGGAAGTCGAGCCTTAGAAGGGGGGTAGTGTTACAATAACACAATTTTCGGACCTTTCCTTTAATCTTCATTCTCCGCTTTGAACCTTTTACTATAGTTCACACTCCATGCCATACAGCACTTTCCTTTTTTGTTCTAACTCCACCTTCTCATGCAGTGCTGCCTTTATTCTTCTTTTAGACTCAAACTCTCTCACGCAGTGGAGCTGGTCACACGGGCTGCGCCTGTAAGGACCATTTCATTATTTTCCTATCTTCGCTATGTCTTGGTTCTCGAACGCTTTTCCCGTTACACCTCTGGCTCTAGGGCTAGAGATATCCTTTGCCGTTTTACTTCTCATAGCCCTCACAGGCTTTCTTAACCATCACTACCATTTTATATCACAGATCAGAGACTGGGTATCGCTCCCAGCCAGCCAGCACACTGGGTAGGGACTGGTAGTAGGCATCTCGCCAACCAGCTCCAAGCCCCAGTAAAGCCTGGTAATACTAATAACACCTTATTTAGGATCGTGCCTCATCATGAGGATATGGTTCCTGAACACGCATGACAATCCTCTATAATTAGTACAAGTCTCTTACCTGCTAATTAATCAAGTCAAAAGTCGTACAATAGTTACTCTCCCTTTTTTCTTATTGGTTGATTAATTCCTCAGACCACTTTTTGTATATTCTCCTTTCGGTCTGAGGAACGGACAGTTCCCTATATAAAGCCTTACCTATTCATGTATGGCTCCTTAGTTTTCTATTACTGAATTTACCCGCTTTACTCCTCAACAAGAACCTTTGAAGCTTACCTCTCAAAGTCCTCTACTCACTATATTTGCTAGCGTCTGTCGACCTCAAGCTCATCGATCCTCTTACTCCCTGCAAGTGCAGAAGGAGACAGGTTTTGTTTTTGTTATAGTTTAACGTTGCCTCACAGTGCCCTCTGACATCATCAGCCACTGCCTTTATCAACTGTACAATATGACAAAACTGGATAAACCCAGTCTCTGCCAAAGCAGCCATTGTTCTCTATGGAGCATAGCCACCACTCCATGGAGTAACCATTGTTCTCCTAGGAGCACAATTGTACTCCTAGGAGTCATTATACTGTAGCGAGTAGCACCTCCGACTATAAGTAGTAGGGGGTTTAGTATAGGAATACCTCAGTCGTTTCTATAGCCTCTCGGGCAGCGCCTGAGGTATGTTACATTACATTTATTAGAGATCACCTTAAACTAACATCTATTGTAGTTTCACTTAGGTAAATAATAAAGTTGTTTCTATAGCCTCTCGGGCAGCGGCTGAGTTTCACTTAGTTTTATTAGGTTATGAGCCCTGGTGCGCAAAAGCTACGCAGGAAATAATTCTTATTTGAAACGGCAACCTTGGAACCATGACCACAGCACGCAATACATCCGCATGTCCAGTTCTCACTGGACCCAACAATTTTCAGATATGGAAACTCCAGATCATCTCAAAGCTATGTCAGGAAAAAGTTCTCCAGGTTGTTACCGGAGAGGAGCTTAAGCCCTCACCAGGAAAACCTACCTCCTCGGAGGATCCTGAGATCACCTGGATACTTAAGGATGAGAAGGCACATGGAATCATCCAGGACCACATCTCTGATGCCCTCCTAATGAGGACTGGAGACCTCACCAGCTCCAAGGAGTTATTTGATAAACTTGTCTCACTCCATCAAAAACGTCCAACATTGCCTCGGCCTTCTATTCATTCCAGCCACTCACCAAATTGTCCTAGGATGGGACATCACCTATCCAGGACCACATTGCGAAAATCCGGACAATTGATTCACACCTCTCCGGAATGAAACTAGGAGTTGATACCAAACTCATGGCTTTTGCTCTTCTCCAATCTCTCCCATGCACTCCTGAATGGCAAATATTTCAGTCATCAGTAATCAACACGATTGAAGAAAATAAACTTACCTTTGATGCAGTTGAGATCCGGATCACTGCAGAAGTTGCACAACAGTCAGGGAAGGCCCCTGGAGGTTCCGAATCAGCACTCAAATCCGAGGAGAAATGGTGTAACTTCCACAAAGCCAAATCACACAACACCTCGGAGTGTCAAACACTTCAGTCAGCTGAAAAAGGTCAAAGGAGGAAGGGAAAGGAAAGACACAAGGATAAAGGAAAAGAGAAGGAAAAGGCAAATACAGCGGAGCAATCATCCGGATCTGACTCCGAGGAGGAACAGAGTCATATTGCATTGGATCATGTACATATTTCCAAGCCCCTTGCTAAACACATTCAAGCTTACCTTGTGTCGGAACCCAATAAGACCAAAACAACAATTATTATTGACTCTGGAGCAACATCCCACATGGTCCCTCACTGCTCCTGGTTTGAGCCAGGAACATACCATGTTCTGCATCCTCCGAGGACAATCAGTTTTGGGGATGAATCCTCTGTAAATGCCATTGGAATTGGAACTGTAATCCTACAAGCAACTGTTGGCAATAAGGACTACAATATTGCACTGTCAAATGTCTTACTTGTGCCAAACTTCACGTTAGCACTCGTATCTGTCCACAAATTGTCCAAAATGGGGTTATCAACACTTTTTCCAGCAGGGTCAAATGCTTGTGAAGTTCGGAAAAAGGAGGAACTTATCCTCACTGCCTTACACAAGCGAGGACTTTATCACATCCAAGCAAAACCCGAAATCAACCCGGAGTCAGCTTTTCCAGCAGTAGATGTGAATTTATTGCACAGGAGAATGGGACACATTGGAATGGACCACTTGCAATGAATGGTTACAAAAAGACAGCTCCAGGACATAGACACCCTTACCGGAACCCCGGAGTTTTGTGAACCTTGTGCTTTAGGAAAGATGAAGAAATTACCTTTCAAGTCCACTGGAGGAAACCGAGCCAAGCACCCCATACAAATTGTGCACAGAGATGTTGGAGGACCAATCAAACCAACTTCCAGGGAGGGTTTTCGGTACTGGATTATCATTGTAGATGATTTCTCCAAATTTCCATGGATATATTTCCTAAAACATAAAAGTGAAGCACTGGAACAATACAAGCAATGGAAAGAAGATGTCCAAACATTCTTCCGGACTCATTTGGGAGAAGAAAACTTCACTCCACTATACACAGAATTCCTCCGGAGCAATGGGGGAGGAGAATATACTGGCAATGCATTCAAAAATCAACTCCGAGAAGATGGTGTCATCCAAGAAACTACAGCTGCAGATACTCCGGAACAAAATGGCATTGCAGAACGCATGAATCAGACATTGGCTACATTAGCAACCACTATGCTCCATGATTCCAAGCTCCCAAAGTCATTTTGGGTAGATGCCATGCAAACAGCTGCATATATCACAGCACGCAGCCCAGCATCAGGACTCCATGGAAAGACCCCATATGAAATACTGTTTAAAAGGAGAGTTGATCCAACTTTGTTTCGCCATTTCGGATGCCAAGCATATGCCTTGATTCCGAAAGACAAAAGGCAAGGGAAGTTTTACTCCAAGGGGCGCAAAGCCATAATGATTGGCTGCACACATGGAAAGCAAGCCTACAAACTCCTAGACACTGAAAAACGGACTGTGTTTTCCAGTCAGCATATCATGTTCAATGAATCCGGAAAGGTACAAAAGGATGGCACTGCTCCCTGGAACACAGACACTAGCACAGATCAGTGGGAGGGACTCATTCCAGAGAATGCTCAGTATCCAGACCAAAAAACATTGGAGGAGGATGATCCTGACCCTCAGATCCGAGATCCAAATGAATTGCAAATGGAACCACATCTCCAAGGAGGTGTTCCACAAGCAATGGAACCATATCAGCATGAAGATGTTCCGAGAGCAGTGGGGCAATACCTCCGTGGAGATGTTCCGAGAGCAGTGGGAGCACCTGATCAGCTAAGACACCCTCCACAACAGTCTCTACAACCAAGACCTGAACACTGGCCATCTTCAGAACGGAAAGCCAAAGTAGAGTTACAGTCAGTGGGAGGACAGCCCCTCAACATACAGCCAGCTGATGTGGAAAAAGTCCGAATACAGCTAGACAGCCTGTCTATTGGATCAGCTTCTGGAAGGCATACAATACCTCCAAGGAGTCATCCAACGCCTCCGAGGAGTGATTCAACACCTTCAGGAGTGAGTGGGGCAACAAATACACAAATGCGTCTACTCCCTGGAGTACCTGCACAAGTTCCTAAAAGAGCAGTCATGCCTGCTGAAGTCCTAGGAGTACGCAGAAGCAGTTGCCAGACCCGTCCTGCAGACAAAAACCGAGATTATCAAAGGACTCTAGATGAGGAACAGTCTCGAAAAGAGCAGCATGACAACTCCATGGAGAAACCTAACACTCCTGAGGTTCATGAAGAAACATCTGATACAGAGGAGACATTCTTTGCTGGAATAGCAAGTACCAGTCTGCCTTGGAGGAGGAACTCCTAAGTCTCAATACTAATGCAGTATATGACACTGTTCCACTTCCAAAGGGAGTAAAACCCATCACATCAAAACCTGTGTTCCGAATCAAGTTTGATCAAAACGGAAACATTGAGAGATACAAACTCCAGATTGTTGCACGAGGTTTTACTCAAAGGGAGGGGATTGATTACCAGGAGGTTTTTGCTCTGGTTGCAAACTTAGAGTCAATCCGAATTATTCTAGCCCTGGCAGCAAAGTACGACCTAGAACTTGATCAAATGGACGTATCCACAGCTTATATCAATGGAGAACTTGAAGAAGAACTGTACATGCTTCCTCCAGGGGGTGTTCCTATCCAACCTGGATACTGCTAGAGGTTGAAGAAATCCATCTACGGATTAAAACAAGCTGGTCGTACATGGAACAAAACTTTTGATCGCAAGCTCCAGGAGCTCGGTTTCACAAGACTAAATGCAGAAACATGTCTCTATGTATTCCGGGACAACATACAAATATGCTTTGTTGTTGTCTATGTAGATGACCTCCTCCTAGGAGCTTCATCCCAAAAATTCATGGATATCACAAAAGCCAAACTTGAATCCATATTCAAAATGCAGGACCTTGGAGAAGCAAAATACATCCTCGGAATAGAAATCCAACGTGATTGTTCAAACAAAACAATATCCCTATTGCAACGCCAATACATTGACACAGTCCTGGAGCGTACTGGAATAGAGAACTGCAAACCTGTATGGACACCAATGGCCCATGGATCAAAACTCCTTGCAAATGCTCCAGGGGAAGATATTGTGCAACACAAGATGCATATTGAAGGGTGCCAAGTGTCATACCTCTCAATTGTAGGCTCCCTCATGTATGCCATGCTCGGAACCCGCCCAGACATTGCCTACGTCGTTGGAATACTAAGCAGGGATAGCTCAGCTCCAAGGAGCCATCACTGGGAAGCTGCAAAATGTGTCCTCCGATATCTGAAAGCAACCAGGGACATGGAACTACGATATGATGGCACAGATGTCTCCATGGACATGGATTTCTATGGATATTCAGATGCAGATTGGTCTGGAGACCCAGACACGTCTTGATCAACATCAGGGTTTGTCTTTATCACCATCCGAGGAGCAATCTCCTGGACAAGCAAAAGACAAAGCATGGTAGCTTTATCCTCCACAGAGTCAGAGTACATTGGATTGAGCAATGCTGGACAACACCTTGCATGGCTTTGGACATTTTTTGAAGAAATTGGACATGCTCAAAATGGACCTACAACATTGCACTGTGACAATCAAGCAGCTATCATTCTTACACGAGATCCACAGTTCCGTGCTCGCACAAAACACATTCAACGGAAATATCATTTTATCCAAGATGATTTAGTATCAAAGGGAGAGGCAGTAATCAGATACGTTCCTACAGGAGATATGGTTGCAGACACTCTCACTAAACCCCTCACTCATGAAAAACACTGGAAATTCTCTAAAGCTATGGGACTACGGTTGCACTCGAGTGGGAGTGACAAAACCGGATAAACCCGGTCTCTGCTGAAGCAGCCATTGTTCTCCATGGAGCATAGCCACCACCCCATGGAGTAACCATTGTTCTCCTAGGAGCACAATTGTACTCCTAGGAGTCATTATACTGTAGCGAGTAGCACCTCCGACTATAAGTAGTAGGGGGTTTAGTATAGGAATACCTCAGTCGTTTCTATAGCCTCTCGGGCAGCGCCTGAGGTATGTTACATTACATTTATTAGAGATCACCTTAAACTAACATCTATTGTAGTTTCACTTAGGTAAATAATAAAGTTGTTTCTATAGCCTCTCGGGCAGCGGCTGAGTTTCACTTAGTTTTATTACAGTACATAGGTACAAACACTCTAATACCCCAATAGATAAAGGAGACTCCTTAGCGAGTCCTCCTGTTGTTAACCAACAAACTCTCTGCAGCCTAAGGGGTAACCACTCCCCATTCACTACCTTTATAGTGTGTTTCTGTGTGCGCCAGAGTAAGTCACTCTTGGTTGTTACACTACCTCCACTGTACATATAGACACTCCTCCTCCTCATGTATATCTAGACAACCTCAGTATATCAACCACATTTTTTGACCATGATCTGGACTATGCATTCATCCTCACTCCATATTCAGCTACCAATTTTGATCTTTTCCTTCGCCAGGCCAAACTTATAGACTCTTATCCCAAACTTCCCTTCAAGTTAACTAATGGTTTTCCAATAGGACCACTCTCTCCAATTAATCACACATACGCTCCCAATAATCTTCCCGGCACTCATTCACACATCAATGTCATACGCGAATACATCACTGATGAACTCCGTCTAGGACACTTTTCCGGTCCTTTCTCACAACAAATGCTCGAAAATAAAATAGGACATTTTCGCTCGTCTCCTCTCCAAGTTGCAATCAAAATTGGCGCACCTGGAGAACCCACAAAATATCGAGTTTGCCGACATCTCTCATATGTTGGTACACAAAAACTTTCAATAAACGACGAAATTGACAGTGAACAATACCCGACGAGATGGGGTACAGCTTCACAAGTAGCTAAAATTGTACGCCATTTTTTCTCTTCCTCTATCTTACTATTCCTCCTCTCCTCCTATTACTCACCTTGCTTCTCCATGAGCGCCCCTCGCGTTCAACTGATCACCAGACACACAGTTTTAATACCGCTTGTCTCCTGACTCACGTCTGACACGCTGAGGAACTCATGTTGAAAACATGGTCCGCTTCGCCCATTCTCATCTCTACTTCTCCGCTCTCTCCTCTCCTCTTCTCTCCTCTCATCTCCTCTTCTCTCCTCTCTTCTCCTCTCCTCTCCTCTCCTCTCCTCTCTTCTCCTCTCCTCTCCTCTCCTCTCTTCTACTCCTCTCTCTCCTCTCTTCTCTCCCATCTCACACATCCGTCATACTCGCTCTTACGTCATTTACTCAATAGATCATCAACTCACCTCCCGGCACACAAGCCGCTACGCTCGACATAGAAGGTGCATATCGCACTATCCCCGTCCTCCCCTCACATAAAAAATACCTCATTGTACGTTGCGATGACCTCTTTACATAGACCATAACGTTCCATTCGGCCTTCAAGGAGAAGTGGCGGATGCCACAGTCGACATATGGAAATCTCTGGCCGTTTTGCCAGTTATCAAATGGGTGGACGACTTCGTCGTCTTCAGGTCTCCACATCCTGAAGGCCAATTCTTGGGCATCTGTAATAACGAAGTATATCGTTATCCATATGATCTCACAGAAGCAAAACGACGCATCACTTCCTTATAAATTCCTTGGCATCGCGAGAAAGGCCAATCCTTCAATGACAGTTTCACTTACGTCGGCTTTCTCTAGGATATACCAGGATGCAATGTCTCACTTCCCGAACTCAAACGTCAAAAATATCACTCAAGACTTTCAATATTTTTGGAACAATACTCTCATAATCGAGTACCGAAACGAGAAGCTGAGACCATTAGCGGTACACTTACTCATATTGCCTTCGTTTTTCCTCGCGGACAATCATATCTTGCAAGTTTATATCGCTGGATTGCCGACTTCACCCACGAATTCATTCCTAGATACATGCGACATTCTGTCATCTCCGATCTTCGATGGTGGCTCTCACTTCTCGCAACTTTCCACCTCCCACGCTCACTCAAACCACATCGACCTACTCACGACTACGAAATCTGGGTCGACGCATCCACCAGCTATGGGATTGGCTTACTTTGGAACGGATACTGGGACGCATGGCTTACTCAGCCCACATGGCGAATACCAGGCCGTGACATTGGTTGGCTGGAAGCAATTGGAATTGAGCTGGCCGCTCTGGTGGCGATTCATCTCGAACTATCGAACATCAACTTCCTTATTCGCAGCGATAATAACGGTGTCATCGGCGCCTTCCAAAAAGGGCGATGTCACAATGCTCATACAAATCTGTGCATTCGACGCACCTTGGCAACTCTGGCCTCACGAGGACTTTCCATCACTCTCACGTACACCAACACCAAAGAGAATCTCGCTGATCCCATATCACGTGGTCTCCTTCCATCTGTCGCCTCTCGCCTGCCCTTCATTATTGCCCTACCAGCAGATATCGCCTCCCACTTTCATCATGCACCGTCAACAGACGCTAATGGACATCTTACAAGATGTTGACATACCAGAGGCCACCAATGCTCTCCACCGCGAATTTCCACCCTCCGCCCGTCACATTGCCTCTACTCCCTCCCACGGCGAAAATTAGACATTTACATCCAATACTGTCCCAGTATCCGACCCATGTCCAGAATACAGATAGCATGCGAGCAATTGAAAAGTCCGTTCTCCCACAACGCAAACTTCAAAACATAACACTAGGCAAAGACCCACCAGCCAGCAAAAAGTAGCCCGAATAGAACACCGATAGCGCGAAGGACAAGTACAACGACGAGTGCCTTGCGCACGGCGGCGTAGAAGCTGTTCAGTGCAGTGCCAGACCAGTTGATGCTTGATAGTATTGTATTTCAGTTTTCAGGTCTTTCGTGCTTGAATCGAGAGTTACTTACCGTCTATCATTTGTACCTCCACCCAAAACGCTAGCTTCCCAACCACGCACCACCTCTCGGTAACGTTTTGCGAAAACCCTGAAGATAACTATGATAAGCGAACGGATGCGCAGACGTCTGTAGGCTGTAACTCACCAAATCCAGAAATTAACATCTGGATACGAGAACCGCGGAAATACGCTAGCCAGGCTGGGGGCCACGAGGTCAATGCGCATGCCTTCTCCCCCGACAGGATGGAAAGGCAGTTGCAGAGCGGAAAACCCTGCTTTGCTAGTGCTTTGATTGTTTGACTGTAGTAATGGCCATGAGGAAAGGTTGCAAAGGTAAAAGAGAAGTATATTACCATATGCGCTATGAGGTCCAATGTCATACCGAGCGAGAGGCCCCAAAGCTTGAGCTGTTTTCGTTGGCGAACCTTCTGTTTTTTTAGTGCACTATTAGGGGGCATGCCCTTCTCGAGTATATCTTGAGTAAGCGCAGGGTAAGCCGACCTTGCACCAGTTGGCAAGGGCGGTGTGGAAGATGGTTCAAATTCCGGAACATCCAGTAAGATAGCAGGGAATTGCATGCTTCCAATTAATACCCGGACCAACACCTTTAATAGTGCTGCATGTCGAGGAGCGAGTCTCGACGCAGCATCAACCGTCACAGTTGACCAGTTACCAGCACAATCTTCACGCTCGGCGATCTTCCCAGGTAAAACAGCACTGATGAGTGCGTCAAGAGGCGTCCAATGGATAGTTGTTCCTGGGGACGGGTCTGTCGATAAGGAATATGGAGTAAGCTGCAGGAAAACAAAGGGAGAGAGGATCATGAGTAACCGCTTCCCAAGGGAAGTAGTAATCTCGCGGTCGTCTAGTTGTCCAATGGAAGTGAAGTCGCGTTCAGCAAGGTCAAGACCAATTTCTTCCCATGTTTGACGCATAGCTGTGTATTGAGATTAGGTAAAATGAAGCACGGCACGTAGTATTTAGGGGAAGAGACGAACCTGTGTACAAGCCACCTTCGTCACCTTCTTCCATTCTTCCACCGGGAAAAGCGATATTGGCCTCATCCTTTGCCTTGCCTTTTGAACTATGCTCACTGGGGCCCGCGGTCTGTGACGTACCGGCGCCAATTATACTATCCGAAGCATTGACCCCATCCCGGCGCAGAAAGAGTATTTCTGCGCGAGAAGCGGGATCGTTCACCCAGTCAAGTTCGAAGAATTGCGTCAATGTAGGCGGTGGTGCGTCACGCGGAGGAGGTGAGGAGAAAGGAGAGGGTACGACTCGGATGATGAGGGCTACAGCTGCACGTCGTGGCTCTGGTATAATATTCAAGATAAGGTAACGATTATTTTTCTGTGTACTCACGAGTTGGAGGAGACGCAATGATACGGGGCGGCGTCGTACGAATATGATGAAGTGCACGCGAGAGCAATTGCGCTACAGGTACAGTTTTTTCTGAAACGACAACGCACATGAGCATTAATGCTATAGGAATGCAATGTAAGCCGTACCTTGGGACATTGTACAACAGTTTACAGAATGGTGTCGCCTTTGAAGTCGTGGAATGGCGTCTGCAATGTCGTAGTCTCACCGCGTGAAACTGAATATTACTTTGGGGTCCAGCAAATTTGTGTATGTAAATGTTTATCCCTGAGATATTCTTAATATTTAATGCACACCCATCGGAGCTATAGTGTAGTGGTATCATCACCCGAGATTCTGATTTGGGCTTGCGTAAGCACCCCACGTGGTTGGATTTCTCGTGACCCAGGTTCGATCCCTGGTAGCTCCTACTGGTTTCTCCTTTGTCTCTCTATTTTTTTCTCCCCAATTTGGACACTAAGAAGCCTCGAATAGAATAAAATATAGACTAACGTGAGTGAAGAAACGGGGAAAGTAGGACTGATGCTGATAACAAGACGACATGTTTATACGTGCTCATGAATGTTATATCTATGACGTCGACACTGCTTCGTGACATCTCTGGTGTATGACGTCTTCGACTATTAAGTGAGAGGCAAACAATATTTCTCACGCTATGCCGCAATCTAGGATTGTAAATTAAGTAAGATAAGATAAGTCTCATCCATAACCGACGCCATCACACGACGTGACTTGACCTGTGACATCCGGCGCGACGAGGCACATCAGTTTGAATTTGTGTCATCTTTGTGGCCACAGGGAACCTATCTCGTCTTACACGACACCATTTTTTTTTGATTTGCTTCCAGATAAATATCTGTATTTACCGAGTCCAGCTTTTCTCGCAAACCAAAAATCTAAATAATTCAAATCAAAGATAGCATTTTTTTTACTTTGTCACCAAATGTAACACTTTTCATCTCATGATCACATGATGACATCAAAGGTCTATCTTATCTTATCAGTAAACAGTGGTCTCTTTTCAAAACGAACTGTGTCGCCGAACACGTCCGCTTCGTTCAAAAAAAAAGGCCCCCGTTTCAAACAAAACGAGACATTTTGGCGGGATTCGAAAGGATGGCTACCGAACGGGCATTAAGTTGTAAGTTAGTTAGTAATAAGCCCTAATTTAAGTTGCAGTGTACCTCTCTTTTATTCTGACATTTCAAGCTTATAGAAAGATGCTTAGGTGTCAGTGATACACTAGTAACTTCGAGGTTACAATTCTGTTAATGTGAGCGCAGGGCAGCTCATAGGAATTGCACAATATGTTGTTACACTGTCACTAAAAGTCCATCCCAGCAAAATGAAGATTGAAAGTAATAAACGGCCTTAGAATTTGAAGCAAGAAATCGTACAATACAATTGTTCCAATATCACGACTGCACTTCCATATCACACTGCATTTTTTACATTGATTCTTCATAAAATCCTACCGTTGAAAGAAAGGTGGTGAGGCGGCACAGACAGGTAATTACCACTGTCTGCCAATTCGAGGGTGCGTCAATGTACTTCTCGACATAAAGCATAGGGTGATAAGCAATTACCTTTACTATAAGTCGAGTTGGATTGCCCTCAAGTAACTTGGGTGATCATCCTGGACACGCCACAGCCAGAAAGGACCTATACACAGATCTCGCCATTATTACCGGGTGAACGTTAGACATGTGGTGGAATAAAGTCTTACCAACTGGATCTCCTACCGCGTAAGAAATGCTATCAGTTGAAAGTTACCGACCACAAGGATGTAAAACGCTCCCTACCATGCTCATGATGTGCACCTGTCCACGTCCCGACGACGCCGGCTGCGCTCGCCACACTACCGATTTGCACGCCTTCCGAACTGTAAAAATGTAACGAGGTCAAGTCCCAATAGAGATTTGTGGGCAGAAAAAAGTGCATTTACTCACCTCCACTGCATATGCGCCTCGTGTATGGATGCCTTTCGGGTCTGTAGTCAGCTCGACGTTATTGCATTAGAGGAAGCAATCAGGGGAAGCTTTACTTACAAATCTCCATCGAACAACGTCGTCAAGGCCCATGCTGACTGAACCTATAACGGTTGCTTCGTTACCATGTACTCCCCATGATGTACCCGTAAAATACAGAGTTGGGTAATTAGGATTTGGGCAGTCTGGTAGCGGTTCCAAAGTGAAGTACTTGGGAACTTCATCAGAGGGAATGAGTTGCAGTGTTAATTCTATGAGACGAATGGCTTCCTGGAAGTTTGTATCGTCAAAGAACGTAGTCTGGTGGCCATTTGCTCTGCTGGAGAACTGAATCAGGCTGCATTAGCACGTCCAGCTGTATGAGATTCTGAAACGTCTTTACGTTAAATGCTGTTCAAGGAATGTCAACATTGTCCGTGGCAGGAATGCATTTCGTCTCACCGAATAGATCACTGGATCCAGGAGTGATTCCACAGTATGATATATAAATTAACGCTTTACTGTACAAAGAAGTTGACACACCGATAATCCATGAAACATACAAATCTTCTCCAAGTTCCTTCGACGCCAGCCCAATCACTCGGGGAGCGAGAAGTTGCTCCTGGTGCCGAATAGGCTCGTGTAGCTTCCAAACCACAGGGGGGCCTTGTATCCACCCAGTGATGATTGTACTCGGATAAATTCATCAACACGACGTTGATGATGGCCTCTGCATGGACCCAGCTGACCTCTCCAGTGCTCGTCAGAGGACCCCAGCTGTTATCTGGGCCGTAATTACGGAGATCGTAAACAGTACACCTGCTCCGGGTGCGTAGTTTCTTGAGGCGCGAAACAGATTCTTCGTCGTCATTGTCATCAAGAGTGAGTGCCAGATAAGATCGGAGACGGTGAAGAGGCTGATAAGGGCTTTGGCGTTGGGTGAATGAAGGCGCTCGGGAGAGCAGGTTGGATTCCTGGAGGACGCGAACGACCCATAGCAAGCTCTGCGATGGAACTCGCTCATTGCCTTGCGTGACGGGTGAAGCGCTGCGAACCACAGAAACGAAAGTGTCGAGCGCCGACCTTAGCTCTTCAGGAGACGAGTTTGAACCAAGGGCGGTAAGCTCCGCTTGTATTCTGGTTTGGAGCTCCATCTTCCAGTTATATGGCTGTCCAGGATCAGAATCAGAATCATTCCGTAAAGACGTACGAGGGTCATCGAAGGGAAGCGATAAGAAAAGCTGGCGCCACAAGTACTGATCTGGACTGCTGTAAACAAGGGAGCGCGCTCTACGACAGGTCTGGGAGAAAGATGCTACATCGCGAGGATGGCAATGGGTGAGGGTATGTTCTGTGACCTCTGCTGGGATCGGTAACACTCCAAGACCAATGTTAAATCGCGACATGGCTCAACACACTGGATGCAAGTTGGGTGGGTGAAAGAGAGATCCGGAGGATTACTGTCAGGGTATCGACAGTATTAGTCATGTACTTTCATAATCTTAACCAAGTATATATATCCATCGACAGTAAAGGTGATGGATCAACTATTGAACCAGTACCTTACTTGTTCGTCATATTGCACAATGGCCAGTGAACAAAATAGAGCGCAATGCATATGGCACCAATCTAAACGTGCACTACACCCCCAGCCCCTTCACTTTGATAGTAGCGGCTGATAATGAACCACTTTGCAGGACATTCCACCAGCCTAGAACTCGTCCGATGTGGTGCTCGAATTCCAGAACGCGTGGGAGAAGGGTTTGTATCTAGAGTAAGTAGGGCGCTTGGTCGGGTCGTACGGAGAATTCTCTTAGCTGTTCTAGCTCTTGATCTCGGCCGGTGAAACGAGGAGATAAGATATCGACGAGAGTGTTGACGTGAGGGAACAAGTATCCCGAATTTTCCGGCCGTGTTTTAGCAGCCATGGCAGCCTGAGAATGGACGTTGTAACATTCATAATGCCACGTAGCTGGCCGAGAACAATTCCGCTAGAGCGCATACTTCGAGTCTGACGGAAGGATCCGGGTCCAAAGGAAACCTGAAGACTGCTAGCTTGACATCCTTGCGGGGATTATTACTGCGTCTAATACAGCATGCGTTAGCAAAGATATTTGTGGAAATATAAGCGGAAATAAACGGAAATAGCTACCACTTTTGACGTTGATATACGCATATATACCACAAAAGCTGAATACTCGCATGCTTGGGTTAAATGCTTATTAGAGGAGGACGTAGTGCTCAAATGGTCGAGTCGTGTGCTTCAAGCGCTGAAGATCGGACAACCCGACTCGAAGACATTGTTATGAGTTGGACGTGTTCTTCAGTGTCCCTCTGGAAGTGCGCCTCCGTCCAATACTCTAACTAGGATCCGACCACTGGAAGTCTTTATGTTCTTGATTATGCGCTTATTCGCCGTACAGCACGATTTTCGATGTTTTGTTGACGGCACATTCGCCTTGGGCTTTCCTTGGTTGATCTAGGAAGCCACAAAAGAGAACGTTGCTTAATTACTCACTGTCACAGTTGCTCACTTCCCCTTTCAGCCTTTCCAATGATACTTCACAGATAGAAAGAATGCAGTTACCCTCTACCTTTCCATATGATATCAAAAGCGCAGTGGTATAAAAATGTCTGTGCCCAACGCTGTGCAGCCTCGAGACTGGGATGAGGCAAGAGCATGTTTACGCGCGTTTGCCCTTTGTGTGAGGAAGGTAGCAGTGGCGCGTCGCTGTACCCGCTCACGCAAAATGCGCTCACTACCCCACCTCCTTATATGCTGCCTCCTCTCCAGCTCAGCCCTCGCCTTCCAGTTCTCTTTCTCCGTTCCCTTCTTCAAATCAAGCCAGGCCATCCTCGACGAACAACAGGATAATGGCGGTCCACCTAGGATAGCCATCGTCGGCGCCGGCGCTGCAGGTTCGTCTGCTGCGTTCTGGATAGGTAAGGCGAGAGAGCGGTTTGGGATCGATGTTGAGGTGGATGTGTATGAGAGGAGTGATTATGTAGGCGGACGTGAGTGGTTGGGTGGTCGTGTGCGCCTGTTGTATGTCTGAACGACCGTGTCCATTGCTATAGGAAGCACGACTGTATACCCATACGGCGATACTAACCTGCCCCCCGTCGAACTGGGGGCATCGATATTTGTGGAGGCTAACAAGAATCTCATGCGCGCATCCAAGGAGTTCAATCTTACACTGGCTAAGTTTGAGGACGATGATTCTGATACTGGCATATGGGACGGACAGAACTTTATCGTCGTCGTGAGTCGCGTCTCTTTTACTTTCTCCATTCCAAATTTGTTATATCCATCGCTATGCGCACTCATACATCTGACACGCAGATGAAAAGCGGCGGCTTTTTCAAAAGCTGGTGGAGCACCCTGAAGGTGCTATGGAGATACGGCTACACTGCCCCCACACAAACACGTACATTGTGAGGTGTATTTATTTTTTCGATTACTCTGACTTTGAGGCAGTCATACCATGCAGTCAATGATGTGCGCGTCAAATACTGATTTAGTTCTTTATTCAGCGTGCAGAACATGGTAAAACAATTTGGCAGACTCTACGTGACGGAGTCTCCCAGATGGGATGATATCGCAGATCTCGCTGCCCGATTTGAGTGGACAGCCCTCGCGAACCATACCACAGCGGAGTACCTCGACTCCAAAGGCGTCTCCCCCAAGTTTTCGCGAGAGGTGGTGGAAGCCGCTACACGCGTTAACTACGGACAGGTGGGCCCTCTTTATTCGCGTTTTTACCTTCTTTGGATGAGTGGAATGAAGTAGAATGCTGACGAGTGATGGGATTTAGAATGTGGACGAAATCCATGCGTTGGAAGGCGCTGCGTCTATGGCTGCCACCGGCGCATCTGGCGTCGCGACGGGGAACTATAAGATATTCGAGCAATTCATTGAGCGATCTGGCGCGACCTTGCATCTCGGAACCACCGTACGTCCTTTCCATATTTTCGTGTCACAACTCGACCTTCCTAACCTCTTAACCACTTTTCAAAACTCGTAGGTGAAAGAAATCAAACGCAAAGCACCCTCATCCTCCCTTTGGTCTGTCGTCACCACCTCTGGCAGCACAAAAACCTACAAAGGCGTCATCCTCGCCTCTCCCTTCCACTTCTCGCACATCACGCTCCCCACTGACCTAGCAGACCTCATACCAGAGCAGCCATACGTCCATCTACACGTGACGCTCCTCGCGACGCGTTCTCCGCATGCTAGCGCGGAGTATTTTGGGCTGGGGGAGAAGGAGGAGGTGCCCCAGACGGTGCTGACGACGTATGAGGGAGTGAGGAAAGGAGGGAAGGAGCCTGAGTTCAATTCATTGAGTTATCATGGGGTGATTAACCGCACGAGGGCTGCAGAGGGCGAAGGCGAGGAAGCGGTGGAGGAAGAGGAGGTGAAGGAGTATGTGGTGAAGATATTCTCGAAGGAGACTGTTTCTGATGAGTGGTTGGAGAGGATATTTGGGCATGTTGGGTGGGTGTATAGGAAGGAGGTGGGTTGCTGGTGTTTTCTTTCTACCTTGTTCAGCGGGGGTGACTGATGGATATGGGATAGTGGGATGCTTATCCGAAATTGCCACCTGCGAGCGTGTTTCCCCCTGTGAAGCTAGACCAGGGACTGTATTACGTGAATTCATTCGAGCCGTAAGTCTCATCTAAATACTCATCCGCCGTCCTCGTGTACTCACTTCACCCTTTCCTTTTCCCGCCCACCTTCCTTTGTCCCCCTAACAAAACAAAACCCTTTGCTCGCCTTGCCTACGAAACCGAAACCAAAATACACGCTCCGCCTTCGCCAACGCACATTCGCATTCGCAGGTTCATCTCAACGATGGAAACGGAAACCATCGCCTCGCGCAACGTCGTCGACCTCCTTTTGCACGAAGAGTTCGGTTCTGGGATCTGCGGGTCTTTGCTCTCGAGCGTAGGTTCGGAGGAGGCGTACGGCGCTGGTGCGAGTAAGGAGGGCGCTGGGGCGAGGGGTAAGGGAGGGGATGAGAAGGGGGGTGAGGAGTTTGTGCTGGGGTGGGATTGTTAATGTTGGTGTTGGTGTTGGTGGGTGGTGGTGCTTGGCGGGTGACGATGCGAGTGGAGTGGATTGGCATTAAGATTAGGATTATATATCATCGAGCGTTCATGGAGTTTGTTATGGAATTTTGTTATTCATTTGTTATTCGAATCAGTTTGGAGAGACGGTCAACGAACGGTTGTATGTACAGAACTCTACGCGTAGACGAGGAGCCGAGGTAGCACGTTTCGACACTTCTGACGCTTGTGAAACTTTGTAACTTGTATAGTGTAGTAATATAACCAGAATCTAGCGCGGTGATCCAGCCGGAAATAATAGACAGCGACGGAAAGAGATATACTTGATATCCGAAGAACAAAGAACAGAAAGGGAGAAAGAGACCAGGAGTAAAAAGAGAAAGACGCAGAGACGGAGAGACGGAGGCAGAGCTCGAGTGTAAATATGTTAAACATTGAAAAAATGGGACAAGGAAACAATGCAAGGTGAATTATTAAATAGGTGATTTAGGTACAGGATGTGATCGAGAAAATTGTGGTAGTAGTCGTTGGTGGTGGTTTGGTAGTTGGTAGATGGTGGTTTGGTAGGTTGTTGGTAGTTGTAGTTGGTAGATATCGACAGTCGTAGGTGACAGATACTTGGATACTTTGGCGGTGGTAATTTAAATACGGAAGAAACGACTATGACGATTGGTTGTGGTGTGGAGATATTGATATTTCCTGGTGGTAGGTGCCGGTTTGTTCTCCCCCCCTCCCCTCCCTCTGCCGTCGTGGGAGGTGACTGTGGTTGCTGATGTATGCTGTTGGGGGAGGGGGGTGGCAATATGTGTATCCTTTTTGGGCTCTGTGCAGAGCCCTTGACCGGATCTTTCCCCCCTCTCTCCTCTCTCCGTCCCCCCTCTTACCGCTTCATCCCCCTCTCGACGCACACTCCCCACAACTACACGTCGCGTCCCAATCTCACCGCAAGACTCATTGCCAACGAAACGAGAAAAAAAAAAAAAAAAGAGACTCGTCTTCGTTCTCTCGCGCTACCGATCCCCACGCACCTCCGTCACCGCCAGCTCACCCGCGTCTTTCTCCGAGATCGTACCGAGGCTGCCCTCGTGTCCGTGGCTGTCGTGCCCGTGTGCGGATCGGTCGGGGAGGTGGTGTCGGACGCCGCCTATGGCGCTGAGTGGGTCGGTCGTGGTCGTGGCGGTCGTGGCGGTGGAGGAGGCGGTGGAGGTGGGGGGTGGGGGGGGGGGTCGGGTTGGGAGCGGTGGGAGGGGCCGAGGCCGAGGGGTGTCCAGTCTGAGAAGTCGCGGCGGACTTCGATGTAGTCGTTTGCGAATTCGCCGATCTAGAGGGGAGTAAGACGGTGAGTTAAAACAAAAGCATCACCATCTAAACGCGACACTGACCTCAACCTCATCAACCCCCACCGCCTCTCCCTCCTCCGTCGTCCTCAGCTTCATCCCCGGCACAGAATCGAGCGCCTTGGCGAGGAGGGCGGTGACGACAAAGGCGTAGGCGCAGGTGGCGCAGACGTAGGCGAGCTGGATGTAGAACTGGCGGTAGTTTCCGTCGACCCAGCCGCCGGGGGTGGAGAGGTTGACGCCGTCGAGGGCGATGATGGAAGAGGAGGCGAAGAGGGCGTTGGCGAGGAGACCGATGATGCCGCCGACGGCGTGTTCGGCGAAGAGATCGAGGGCGTCGTCGATCCTGAACAGGAATTTCACTAGGGGATTAATTTTGGGTTAAGAAATGGTTGTAATATTTTAATGGACGGGCGGGAACGAACGTTTTGTAGCGTAGTTAGTGACTGCGCCTGTGACGATGCCCATGATGACGGCTGCCCAGGGGTGGATGTACCCCGAGGCAGGGGTAGCGGCTACCAACCCCGCAATCGTGCCCGAACAAAAGCCAACCATGCTCCACTTCCTCTCGATCCTATAATCGAGCAAACACCAAACGACGCCCCCGCACGCAGCGGCTAACATGGAGTTCCAGATGGCCATGACGGCGCGGAGGTTTGCACCGAAAGCGGAGCCGCCGTTGAAGCCTAGCCAGCCGAACCAGAGGATGAAGGTGCCGAGGTTGACGAGGGAGACGTTGTGGGGACGGAAGTTGAGGAGTTCTTTCTGGTGTCGTGGGCCGAGGACCCAGGAGTAGGCGAGGCCTGCGATGCCGCTGCCTATTTCGACGGGACCGCCGCCTAGTGAGGGAGGTTAGGAGGAACGGGTAAATAATAGGAAATTGACGGACCTGCGTAGTCGAGGACACCCCATTTGAAGCCCCAGCCATTTACGTTCCAAGCCCAGCAGGCGAGGGGACAGTAGACGAGGGTCATCCATATAAAAGTGAAAATCATGGCGGGGAAGACACGACCTCGCTCAGCGAGACCGCCCATGAGGATGCCCACGGTGACGCAGGCAAACTCCATCTGGTAGAAGGCATAGAGCAGATCTGGAATTAGGGGAGAGCCGGGTGAGGGATTGTCGAGGACACCGATGAGACCAAAGTTTGCGAGGTTCCCGATGAATCCGTTTGTTGCGGAGGGAGAAAAGGCGAGGGAGTAGCCCCAGAAATACCACTGGAAGATACAGACTGCGTTTGATGCGGAAACAGCCCAGATGAGCGACAGCGCTGATTTGCGGCGTGCGAGACCAGAATAGAGAAAGGCTGGGAGAAAAGTGAGCAAAGAAGGGAGAAAGATAAGAGATAAGAGAGAGACCTAGGCCTGGGATCATGAAGGACACCATCGCACCAGCGACAATGATAAAGGAGAGATCACCACGGTCATATCTAGAGAGGGTGTGAGAGAGATAGGGAGAGATAGGTGCGATACACACTCTGCCAGTCCTGCCACACTGTCAGCACACATCCGCATTCTCAGCAACAGGACGTACGTTTCTCGAGCATTGGGTGCATTGTGTCTTGCAAGTGTCACTTCCTCTTGCTCACTTTTCAACCCGTCTCCCTCTCTCTCTGATAAACATATCGTTTTTCATTGGTCGATAACAAACCCTCCGCTTACTAAACATCTCCATCAACAGCCCACACGCACGCAGGGTCGCCCTTTCCTCCCTTCCTCCTTTTGCTCCTCCCTTTCTGCAGCTGTCAGCTACCTCCTCTCGCTCCACCCACTGCCTCTCCCCTAGCTGCCTTTGGTCTCTCCAAGCTCAGGTTCGTCGATGGCCGGTGGCTGACGAGACACACCGTGCAGATCTCCAGATCTCCTTCATATCGCTCATCAACATCTCGATCGATCGTCGTGCCTCGCCCTTCTCCCGTCGGTTCCTTTCGGCCGCGTCTTCGACTGTACGGTCTTTTACTGGAACCGACTTGTGTCATCTTATAAACTGTTCATTTGGCTTGGAGCAACAAACACGAGTGTATTAAGTAGTACTAAGGAGGGGAGAACTCCCCAAATCAAGTACTGGGCCATTACCAGTCATCAGTAAACTGCATAGTTACTTTTTACCCAACTGACTTTTGCTCGTATAATAAACCCAGTTGCATTTGATGATCTGCTCACCGTAAACATTAGTAGGCAAAAATGACCAGATGTTAACTACCTACCTCGGCCTTGTGAGTGGCATTGCGATGTAGTGTTAGCACTTGCTCTACGTTTTGTGGTGAGCTCCTTTTGAATGACGCTGCTTGAGCTATTGCCAGAGGCAGCCGTCCGATACAGTTCACTAGCTGCTCTGCGCTCCCCACAGCTGAGGCAGCACCATCATTGTCCGTATCAATCTCCGCATCACGCAGGAACAGTTTGGCTGCATCTCGTACATCAAGCACGTCAAGCTCGATGATAGGGTGACGATGACCCGCACAGCTAGTCACGGCTTTGGCAATATCCTGCGTGCGAGTAGTATATAAAATTCTCCCATGTGTATTCTCCCGGGGAGTAAATTCCCGAGAGAGATCAAGAGTATTGTCCTACGTTGTCGAATACGATAAGCCACGAGATAGACCCAGACGCCTCGAACCAATGGCGTACAGCTACAAGCTTATCTTCCATCTTTGTGTCACCAACGTGGGGGTGGCTAACAAGCCCAGACTTTTTCGAATCCAGCCTGAAGCTTATCGGTTGTAATGCCCGAAATCCAAAACACATTGGAAAAATGTTTGCTGGCATACTCCATGGTGGCGAACATCAAGGCAAACTGTGTCTTTCCCAGTCCAGGCATCCTGTAGACGGTACATCGAGTAGGTTGGGTGCCCTCGCTACTGGAGAAGAACGCTCTCAAAAACGTCTAACTCCTTGTCTCGGCCAGTGAAGTGCGTAGATAAGAGATCAGGTGCACCGTTGAATGAAGGCAAAGTGTCCAGGTCTTTGTACTGCACAGTGGGAGCTGCAGGAAACCGATTGTTGACATTGTTGATGTGCAAATGACCACCGATGACGGTGCCAACCTCGACAAAATGGCTTCCGCTTGCGTTGGTATTTTGAGCCCTATTGAAGAATCCAGGTCCTGAGCCAGATCCTTGATTCAAGATAGTTTCAGTCATTGCGATTTGGTTGGTGTTGAGGGTGCCGGTATACAGTGTGGAAATGGATGTAGGAGGTAGGTGGGAGAGAGGAAGTGTGCGTTTGATGTCTCGCCCATGGTGTACCCTGCAGGCAACAGGCGCTGAAGTGCACCCACGTTGGGCCACTTCGTGACTTGCAAATAACAGTAGTTGTATCCTAGCGCTCATGGGTATATAAATACTTGCAGACCGGTGGCGCCATTAAATCGAACGCATAGGGGCAAAAGGTTGAGGACCAGCGCGATGGCGATAGCGTCCATGTCGAGAAGTAGCATTGAGCACTTATACTATTGAAAGAGGGGGCTGAGATCAGAACATGGGAGCGATAGTGCGCTGCAATGGTGGATGTTTGCCAACGAAATATAAATTTCGAAAACGCACAGCGATGGTGCGGGGGGAAACAAGCAAGTGATGGTCGGTTCGTGCGATTAATGTGGTAAACCTGGCTCGACATGCGACATAATATGATGAAAATGAGCTAGCACCTTGAGCAGGACGGGAAGTGCATGTACCTCGCGAGACAAAGAAGGGCTATGGGAGTGATGGCGGGTGGTGCAGAGATGTTTCATTACTCTTCGATCCGGCATCATCTAGTTGGCAAGTGAAGTCCAGAGGAGTAATAAGAGGAGGGGAAACGGGTCACGTTTAACGGGAGATAGCGTGAGGTGTGAGTGTGAGTGTGAGTGTGAGCGGTACACTTACTGTTAGAAACTAGCGTCCTGCACTCTCCCTCCCCTCCAAAGCACCACCAAAATGACCATACCTCCATATTTGTTTGACAAAATTTCTACAGCAGCACAGATATATTAAGTGCACACATGACTGCGCCCTATATCGCCTGAGCGGGACGTTTGGTGGACTGAACTTGGAGCTGAGCGATTGGCTAGGGAAGGGTAGACATTTGGAGTGTACGCGACGGTTAAGTGGGAACGGTATTAGAATTAACGGTGTTCATTTGAATGATTCGAATACGTGACTGATGCATGTTCCTTCGTGTCTGCGCGGTGGACCATAATGTTGTGTTTGAGTACGACGAAGTAATGTAATGGCCAAACCGATGTCCCATTTCGGTCGTGTCTCTTTTCACCACGATCGAGTTACCGCAAGTCCAGTCACTCTCTAGTACGATGGTCATCATGCTAATGCTTATTGCAGACACGCCATGTATCGCCTTGTGCGCTCAACTAGACTAGCTTCCACCACGCGTTACTTCTCTCATGTCGCCAACACATTCGAGTCCAAGTATGCACACAAGCTAAACCACAAAGCACGCCAGTGAGTCTTTTCTCTACGCCCATTTCATCACACATTCTTGACGTATAAACTTCTCACTCAATCAACAGGGCTGGTCAAAGTCTCGCAGACCTGAAAGCGAAAGCAAAAGCCGAGGAACAAACAGACGAAAACGCGAATGGGAGTCACAAAAAACAACACCTTCTCCAGCACCGTCTTCACCCAAACTTGCTCATTCTACTTCTACTGCGCATTCTACTCCTTCTAATGTCCGTAAAGACAGCTCCACCCGTCAGGTAACGTCGCCCATTTTCATTTTCTTTACTCATTTCCAACTCGCTCACTACTTGAACTCACACATCTCCACTACAACCCACCCAGCCTCTCTCTTCCTTACTCAATATCCCCCTCATCCTCTCTCCCCAATCCCCGACAACCCCAGCTCAACTCTCAGCCCTTTGGACAGCCTATCACGCGTCTCGCTCAGGCGGTACAGGTCGCGGGTACGTATGCGCCTCTGTGCCGGTGGGGCTGTATGAGAACATGATAGGTACGGCGAGGAAGTATGGGTCGTTTATTGTTCCAGTGCCGCGCTTGGGAGGAGAAGGAGGGAAGGAGGAGGCGTACGAGTTTTATTTCTTACAGTGGGCGTTCCATGGCTCTCCTCCCATACCGTCTGCTACTCCGTCGGACCCGTTTGTGGCCTCACCGCTTCCAATAGGTGTCAACCCCAACGCAGATGGCACCCCCCTCCCTCCGACATCCACCGTCCTCTTCACACCTCTCCAGGAATACAAGCTCCGCGCATCGTTTGCGACGCCCTTCCTCGCACTCACATTCTATCCTGATCTCGCGAGGAGCCATGGGAATGTGTTGTTGAGGGGAGAGATCACTGCTTCTCCTGGAGGTGGAGGCGCTGCTGTTGAAGGAAAAGGTGACGAGGGAGGGAGGTTCATGCTGACGCAAAACGACGCGCAGCTCCTCGTGATGGAGCTGCAGAAGTTTTATTTGTGGGAGAGCGGGAAAAGCACGAGTACCGCAGAGCGGCTGCTGAAGACATTTCATGAACGACCGGAGGAGTTTAAGTGGGAGGAGCTGTTAGAGCATGCGAAGTTGACGGCTTAATTGGTGAGTGGGACGAGAAGGAGGACTGTCTGATTTGGTGTGTGGTATCTTTCCATGCGTAATAGCGATCCGTGGTAATAGGCAATGTCCAAGTCATTTGCTGAAAAAAATTTGGCGTGTGGTGAAGCTGCGTTAGTAGGACTCATGTGTCGAGCATCCCTCGTCAGTTCTCGTTCTAGGCTGACTCGAGTGCCAATTGTGTCATCTCATCTCACTCAAACTTATTCAAGTCTCGTGCATGACGGCTCTAAACGCATCGAAGTGCAGATAGCACGGCATACATAGAAAAATAGAAGTTGTGTTGGAATTGTGATTCTGGGTCGCTATTGCAAGTTTGCCATTTGCTTTCAGACATTTCCTGATTTGCGTCCTGCCCTGTTTCTTACTGACGGCAAGGACACAAAAGGACGTCGCTGCATCACCGTGTATTTGCTGAAGGTACCAGAATCGAATATTGATTCAGGCAAAACCAGTAGAGTATTGTTTCAGGTTAGAGAACTGCAAACTGAGTACTGAGTTGTGGGTAATATTAGGATTGGTAAATCTAGAAATATGCGCTGGGTGTAACACCTCACTGGTCTCACCCCACTTCCAACTCCAAGCAATGTAAACCACGGCCATCTGCACGCTGGAGCTTTCAAACCATCTACCACTCCCCACTACGATGGCTCAGATCTCAAATCGCCCACTTCAAGGGGCGCACGCAACCAGTCCCCAGCCATCTTTGCATCCTTCTCAAGCTCGCGTACCGCATCCTGCACCTCTCCCTCCGTATCCATGTCGAGCGCGCGCATTTCACGGTTAAACACGTTTCCGAAGGTAGATACGAGGGAAGGAATTATTGAGGGGACTGTGAGTTGGCTGGGCTTACTTTGGGCTCCCTCTATACCAGCACTAATGCGCTGCACCGCTTCTTCTATACACCCTGCCCTGACACCCTCCAGCCCACACGCGACGACTCTGTCAAACCACTCTATCGGCTCCTTCGTCACATTCAACGAGAACCCATGGGTAGTGAGCCTGTGCCTCACCTGCACGCCCACGCTCGCGACCTTGGTGTGTTCGTCGAGGAAGACGCCAGTATGTGCGCATGGGGCAGTGACGAGCGAGTGTGTGTGTTGGAGGTGGTGGGTGATGGTGCGGATGAGGAGTGAAATGTAGGTGCGGATAGGGATTGGCGTAGGATGGGATGGAGATGGGCGGGAGAGGTCGAAGAGAGGGTAGCCAACGAGTTGACCTGGGCCGTGATACGTCACGAGTCCGCCACGCGCTGTGCAAACCGAGTCAGCGCCAAGAGCCTTGAGCCTTGCGTGTTCGCGGTCGTTCTCGTCCTCCTCTGTGCCTATGGAAGGCTGGGACTGACGTCTCCCGAAGGTATACACAGGTCGATGCTGGAGTAGGAGGAGAAGGTCGGGATGTGAGCCTGGAGAGGTGCGGCGGGTGGAGAGCTGCAGTGCATGGAGTTTTTCTTGGAGGGCGAGGGTGCGTGCGTAGGGGAGGGGTGTTTGGAAATAGTGGAAGAGGATTGGAGGGAGCGTCATTTGGTTCAAGTAGAGAATTGGTAAGTAAAGCGGCAGCTACACCGTGCGTAGGGTTAGGTTTTGTGTAGATACTTGCGCATTCCAGGCCTGACTCCCTTGCAATATTCATTCAATAAGCTACACTTTCTATCTGAGATACCTGTATAGATATTTATATGAATATATTATAATCATCATTCAGAAACTACATGCATAATTCAAGAATCTAGGTTGGCACCACGGAATCAGGTTTCTGGGCATTTGAGTCAGCACCAAATATAGTAAATCTAAAAGACTCAATCATCACTGAATATCTAAGCGGTTATCAGTATGGTACTACTCCTCGTCCTCTGTGCCGTTTTCATGCTCATCAGCATCCAGGTCAGCATCTATTGCTGTAGGTTTAGGTAATAGTGTCTCGAGCTTGCCACAGACTGGCTTTTTCCATGCAGGCCAGCGCGTTTCTGCTTTTGCATTCTCACACTCTTCCTTCCATTGACTGACTTCAACCTGATAATTTGCCTTCAGATCCCTGTTGCATTGTAATTCCTAGGAGTACAATGGCGACTCCATGGAGAACAATGGCTGCTTTAGCAGAGACCAGGTTTTGTAACAACCAAGAGTATGTATACTCTGGCGCACAACTCAGACAAAGCTATAAAGAACTGAGGGGAGTGGTTACCCTTTAGATAGGACCAAGTTTGTTGTGGGTAAACAACAGAAGGACTTGCTGAGGAGTTTCCTTGATTTATTGGGGTATATATACTACTGCAGTTTGTTTGTACATGTGTACTGTACAGTTCATGGAGGCAGTGGCTGATGATGTCATGAGGCACAGCCCATGTGACCAGCCCCACTGTGTGAGAAACTTGTATCTAAAAATAAAATAAAAGCAGTGCAGCGCGAGAAGGTGGAGTTTGAACAAAAAGGAAAGAAGGTTAAAGAGGAGAATGAAAATTGAAGGTCCAAAAATTTGTGTATCGTAACATTGAGCTTATGTAATGTGATGGAAAAGTGGTCAATCAGAGAATAAAGGATAGTATATAGATGATGAAGAAATAGAACATAGAATGTTAATATGCTATGAATGAAATATGCCAACACACCCCCTCAAACCAAATCAACTCCCATTAATTTATTGAAGTGTTGTAGTTTGGGTTTAGCCAGTGGCTTTGTGAGTGCATCGGCAGGCATTTTGTTTGTGGGACAAAATAAGATTTGGATCAGATTCTGTTCAGTAGATTGTCTGATGAAATGGTAGTGAATGTCAATGTGTTTGGTGCGAGAATGATAGATATTATTTTTGGTGAGTTGATTGCACTATGATTGTCGCCATAAAGGGGAATTGGTCCAGTGAGTGGTTTGTTTGTGATTTTGGCCCAAATGTTTTTGAGCCAGATGGCTTTTGGCTGTGTGTGTGATAGCCACATATTTGGCCTCTGTGGTTGATAGTGTTACAATGGGCTGTGTCTTACTATTCCAGGAGACAGCTCCACCATTGATCCTAAAAACATATCCTGATATAGAATGTCTGTGGGAATGTTGTAAGGACCATTTATTATTTTCTCCATGTCTTGGTTTTCAAATACTTTCCCTGTTACACCTCTGACTCTAGGGCTAGAGGTATCATTTGCTATTCTACTTCTCATAGCCTTCACAGGCTTTCTCAATCATCGCTACCACTTTATATCGCAGATCAGAGACTGGGTATCACTCCCAGCCAGCCAGCACAATGGGTAGGGGCTGGTAGTAGGCATCTCGCCAACCAGCTCCAAGCCCCATCAAGGCCTGGATATACTAATAAACACTTTAGTCAGGATCATACCTCATCGTGAGGATACGGTTCCTGAACACGCATGACAAACACCTATTATTAGTACAACTCTCTCACCTGCTGATTAATCATTCAAAGCCGTACAATAGTTGCCCCTTTTTCTCATTGGACGATTTATTCCTCAGACCACTTTTCATTTATTCTCCTTTTGGTCTAAGGAATGGATAATTAGCTATATAAATCCTACACATCTCATGTATAGCTCTTTAGTTTTCTATTACTTGAATTATCCATCTTACCTCTCATCAGAAACCTCTGAGTCTCCTCTCATATCCTCTACTTGCTATATTCACTAGCATCTGTCGATCTCAAGACTCATCAAACCTCTTACTCCCTGCAAGTGCAGAAGGAGACAGGTTTTGTTTTTGTTATAGTTTGTCGTTGCCTCACATTTGTGAGGCAAAGTCTGCGTCCAGAAATCCAACCAAGCCTTCATTGGTTTGACCTATGACCAATTGAAACTCTTTGGTGGCTTTCAGGTATTGTAGGACTCATTTTGCTGCCTCCCAGTGTGTTTAACCAGGACTTTATAGGAAACAAGAGAGTGAAGATATTGCAAATGCAATATCTGGTCGAGTGCTAGTAGCAAGGTATATTAGGGACCCTATTGTCTCTCTATAAGGTATGTTTTGCATTTCTATGACTTTGGCTTCAGCTGATGGTGATTGTGTGTCATCAAACAGCAGGCCTGGCTTGACTGGAATTGATACCGGTTTGCAGTCTTCTAGGTTGAACCTTTTTAATATGGTTTTAATATACACTTGTTGACCTAGAGATATAGTGCGGGTTTTTTGGTCTTGAAGGATGTGAATGCTGAGTAGCTAGTTGACCTAACCAAGATCAGTGATTTCATATTCTCTCTTAATTCCTTCTTTAAATTCACTAATGGCCTCTGTAGTATCACCAGCAATTAACATGTTGTTGACTGACACTGCAACTACTAGGCTGTTGGTGTTGCTATATTTGATGAAGAGAGCATGGTCGTGTTGTGACTTTGAGAATCCCAGGGTGGTAAACGTCTTAGTGAGTCTTGCATACCACTGTTTTCCTGATTATTTCAGACCATAGAAACCTTTGTTTAGCTTGCATACAAGTCCTTGCTGCTCAGGTTTCAGGTAGTTTGGTGGAGGATATATGTATATGTCCTCGTCTAGCATTGCATTAAGGTATGTATCCTTAATGTCTAACTGGTGAGTTTCCCAGTTGTTTGCTGCTGCGTGCGTGAGAATGAGTTGGTTGGTGGTCATGTGAGACACTGCTGAATATATCTTGTTATAGTCTACACCATATATTTGTGTACTGCCGTTCACTACTAAGCAAATCTTGAATTTTAGGATCTCAATGTTTGGTCTGCATTTGATCCGAGGGACATAGTGGCAGCGTATTGTGTTTGCATGCAGTGGGGGTTTGACAATGTCCCAGGTGCGCAGTTTTTCTATTTGTTTTAACTCTTCCTCTATGGCCTTTAGCCAATTTTCTCTATATGGTACCTTTAGCGCCTCGGTCATCGTCAGATTGTCGCTAGCGGTTCCAGCATTTGCAACCATAGCTGCACTCCAAGTGCCAAGGTAAGCACTATTGCTGTTATTTTTGTTCCCTGAGTCAGCTGACTCCTTGATGGCAGATGCGGCTGTGTTGCGGCCTTCATGCAGTGCCTTGTAGAAGCCTGCAGGCTTTGGTTCTCCTCCTCTCAGTCATTCTGCAGGTACAGGATTGGGTTCTAGAGGTTGAGGAGGGTCAAGGAGACCTGGAGGAGGAGGCTGAAGGTTGTTTAGATGTGGCTGGGCGACAGGATTGGGATTGATGGTGTTTGGTTAGATTGGATGAGGCTAAAGGTTGTTTAGAGGCGAGTATGAGCAAATGGCTGCTGGTAAGTTGTTGACAGTTTTGTTTTTGTGATTTGCTGATCCGACCAGCTTTTTCATAGAGTCAACCATCAGTTCTTCAAATATACGGCCATTGTTGTTTTTGGCAGTTTGGGATGGGGTAAGACATTCTTGTGGTTAAAAATAATATTGTGTTTGATGCTTGTGGTACGTTATTCTGGACAGTATATTCTGTGCCCTTTTGACTCATCATCAAATCCAATCCATTTACCAGCCTTTACATGTGGGTCTAGTTTGCCTGCGTTAATGGTTTTGATATATGCTGTGCATCCAAACTCAAGAATATCAGATAAATTCAGTATGGGGCTGTGAACTATTTTGTACGGTGTTTTGCCTTGTAGTGCCTTGGTAGGGCTCAGTTTATGATCCAGATGGCATGCATAATAGCTTCACTCCACAGGGATTTAGGCATATTTGCACCAAATAACATTGCACAAGCACATTCAATGAGTGTGCAGTTGAGGCATTCTGATATGCCATTCTGCTGGGGTGAGTCATGGGTCATTAATTCCCTGACAGTGCCTTGTTTTTGCAGGTGCACTTCAAAATTGAGGCTTGTGTATTCACCTCCACGATCAGACCTCAGGATCTTTATTTTACTGTGATCCTTTTGCGTATTGAGCCAGGCTTGAAAATTTTCATACATCTGTAGAACCTTGTCTTTTTTTGCAAGTAAATGCGTGTGAGTTTCTTGGCTAAAGTTGTCTGTGAAAGTTGACATATATCGCTTTCCTTTCAAGTTCTGAACAATAGCTGGACCCCAGAGATCCAAATGGATTCTTTCTGTATAATGTTTAGCGTGTGTGGCTAGTTTTTGGGAAAGGTTTCCTGATGGCCTTTGCTTGGACACATGTTTCACAGAAAGATATGGCCTTGGAACTATCCAGGACAATGGATTTGAATCAACGAGGTGCTTGAGTGATTTATGGGCTATATGGCCCATTTGCCGGTGCAGATTATTAATGGTCACTGTGCTGGCAAGGTATTCTCCTTTTTTGTAATTTTTACTGATGTTTGATATGTGATACAGGCCCTTTGTTTCTGGGATTTGAGCTATTGTTTGGCAGCCAGGTGGGGACAAGCATATCTCGCATATGCCTCCGCCTATGTGAACAGTATATCCTGCCTTGTCCATGTGACTAGCAGATATGAATGTTGAGGCCATTGTAGGGCAGTGTAGTGTGTATTTTAATATGACACAAGAGCACTTTTTTTCATTTGGTAGATTAACAGTGACATTGCCCTTGCCACAGGCATACATGATATTGCCATTTGCTGTGTTAATAGGTATAGGATTGATT